TACCTTAGACACTAGCAACCTTCACAATCTCTCTGGGTAGTTGCTTTATGAATGTTTGGAGAGGGTGCCGCCATTTTTGTTTTTTAGCAACACAAGGATGGATTCAAGCGAGCTTAACAACAGAGATTACGACGAGGTTGCTGATTTTCCAGGCAGATTGGGCGAAATACGCACTAGTGGAACGACCAGGTATCTGGATCAGGATATTTGCAGAAGTTTTCAGTTGTTTACCAATGGAATGTGCATGCGGTGATCATATCCTCTAGGAGGTCATCCGGGAATAAGACGCGTTCTACTTCGTCAATAGATGCAGCTATTGATGGACGCATATCAATTGATGATGTACTCGAGCTGAAGGAGCGAATGACTGAGAATGAAAACAAACTAAATTCAATTTCTCACACAAACACACAGATTATGAAGTGAGTCATTTGAGAATATCTTTGGAATTCTTAAAATGTTATTCTAATTCATAAGGATACTCACTAGCCTGCAAAACTCTATGGAGCATATGCGAGTTGAAAATAGCTGTTTGAAAGACGAAGTAGGCCATGTTTCCTTTTAGGAACATATGTTTCCTTATCATTATAATTACTTATACAGTGCATTTGGAGTTCAGATTGTTCGCTTATCCGAACAAGCTGCATTAGCGAGACGATTGCCATCACCAGCTACTGTATCTCATATGCCCGGAAACCATATCGTTGAAAGGGCTCACTCAGTTGGCTTGGAACGCGGTGAACGCATCGGACGACCGCCAATAGGTAGGGTTTCGTCTGAGGTACACGCTGCCAGAATCACATTCCAAAGGGTTAACTTGCTATTCCAGAAGAATCAAGAATAACGAAGCGACACGGAAGTATTAGTGGTTCTACGCCTGGATACTCGAGAATGGTTCCTAGTGGGAGAATGAGCGCAGAAAATCATAGGTTATTTCTCTTACAGCCTTGTAATTCCTAACAGTCCGTAATCCCGATTTGAAATATAGCGCACATACTATAGGGAAACATTTTCTATGGTGGATTTTCATTAATGCTGTGTTCTTTCACATGCAAGTAAATCAGAAACACTTAGAGATGTTCTGTTCTAGAGAACGAGACGATTCCAGAGATGCTTCTCGGGAAAAGTTGCGTTCACGCGAAAGAAACTTCGATTCGAACGATTACGCTACGATAACCCCTGCTCCTCAAGTTGTGGCATCCAAGGTGCAGGAAGCATTCAGCGAATCAGGTAAGCAGCTGTTGAAAGATCTTTTTTTTCTTGTGTGACACTAACAATTAAAGTTTAGTCTTTCCTGACAATTTAATTCGAGAAACTGAGAATCTCACCGTGGCGATTCGAGCGTTACTCACAGATGCACAACATAAACAACTTCATGGACGCTCTAGTGATCATGCTCACAAGGTTATTATAACTGTTACGTTTAGAAGTTGGGTATCATTGATTTTTCAGATTGCCACTCTCATCAACCATATAATTTGCTTGATTCCTCGCGATCAGCGTATGGGTAAAACGGAACAGGCCGTAACGGGCCTCATGGATGCTACTATGGCAAGTCCAATGATTCACGGACCTGGAAAAACCAGGACAAATTTTTCTAGAAAAAAAATACGTTTGCTGTCTCCTACCTTTATTATAGATCCTCAGTGCAAAATGCAATGCGCCAATCTTGGACGCTGAAGATGCTTGCCATGCGGCGTATAGCGTTGCACAATCAGCAAAAATGCTACTTATGGCGGTACATCATTGACCTGCTCATCTCTTCTCTTCATCCCAGTTACTGTTGTTAGTTAAAAAGTTTTATGTTAGTTAAGCATTTGCAGAGCATGTTTACCGGTATAAGCTTTATTGCTTTTTTTATGTTATCGTTTAGATTATTTAACGATTCCAAGTGATATGATTGTTAATTGCCTCATTTGGTGAGTATTTTGTGGCCGCACTCAATCACAGGAAATATCTTCGATCCTTTTGCACTGTCTGTTGGGTACCGCATCTCCTTTTAATAAATCTCTTCTTAGACTAATTACAGCGAGGTCATATATTTCCGAGTTAGTTCTTGACATTTGGTCCGCATGCGCATATTCTAGCGTGTGCTTTCGTTTTTTTGTTTTCGTTATCTCAATGTTTGTTGCCATATGTTTGAAAATTAATAAAGTTTAAGCATGTTTT